CGATACTTGATGACTTTTGATGATGTTTCTATGACTTTTGACGTACTCGTTTTGACGAACTTATTATATTTTGACGAACTTTTAAGAAACCTAAGTTTTCAGTAACCGAACTTTTTTATTAAAGTTAAAACAACGGTTTTTCTAAGTTAAGTCATGATTTTTAAAGGTAGCACCCCGAATCAGTTTTCGCAAAGAAAAAGGCTTTATTTTTAAATAACTTTGCGAATTTTAGCGCACTCTGATTTTACAGTAAGGAGGGGTGTTACAAGTGGTAAGGCCAAGCAAGCCCGAAGGAAACGCAAGGGAAAGGCTAAAGAAGGGAAGTGTTGGTGTAAGCCTTGTGCGAGAAAGAGACGAGTGTGGAAGATGGAGGCTAGAAGGCGTGGTAGGCAGAGAATGGAAGATGGTTGGATATGGCGTGCTGGAGATTGCACGGGAATGGGAGGTAAGTGTGTGGAAGGTTGGGACCCATGGCCATCGAGCGAGCTGAGGTCGATCAGCAACGACAAGGTGGGCACGAGCGAATGGCGCACATCGTGCCTTGATGCACGCGTCGGGCCAAGTGATCGTGCACGAGGTGCAGCAGGTGCAATGGGGTGTGCGATAGGCGATCAGGGCTCGGGCGTTGGCGCGGACGCGCGCGAGGAAGCAAGTAGGGACGGGGCGCGCGATGAGCGCACAAGTTTGGGACACGCGGACGGAGACTGCGACCTAGTGGGCGTAGGAGTGCTGGGCACGGGTATGCATGCGCAGGCGGGACGCGGCAGGGGCGAAGCGCGCGCAACAGCGTGCGCGTGTGAAGGGCGCGCGCGAGACCCAGTGTAATATCCGACTTTTTATCAGTATTAATAATATCTCAGTTCCGGTATTATTTTTCGGAATTAATTATTTTCAGTTATTTCAGTCAAAATTACCGGAAAATAATTTCGACGTACCGTTTACGTTCGGAATAATTTTGGTAATTTAGCATTATGTTTAATTGGATAATTAAACATAATTAGGTGATTAATTTAACTTAATCACGAGATTAGCTAATTGTTCGGGTTTTATTCCGAGTTCATGTTCGTAGCCGTGCATTGTTGCTATTGCCGTGTGCATTG